CGGAGGACATCACTACAAGAATTAGGCAATATAGCTACACTTTTTTGTAGCTATATCATTTTTTTCGTAACAAAATTCAATTTGCTACAAATTTGCTACAATTGATTATTCGAGACTATGTCTTTAAAAAAAATTCACTGTTTGTAGCAAAGTGTAACAAATTGCTACAAAAAGTCANTAACATATTGTTGTAGCTATTTGAATTAAAATTGCTACAACATATTGCGTAGCCAATTTGCTACAATCTCGTTACAAATAATTTGTGGGAAATTGATACAAAAGTCTACAACACTGTTGTAGTTAATAGCTACGGTTTGTGAGAATGTGTTAGTAACTAATTGCAACACTTAATGACAATATATTTGTAACGAAACTAATGAAATTCATAAAAAAACATATTAATTAGAAAATTGTATTATTAATATGAATATTAATCCAATTATATTTAAATTTTATAAAACCAATAATAAATACGAAAAATATATATAGTTGTATACAAAATTGTATTATTAACGAAAATATATATAGTTGGCTTGGTGACTCTCAACCAACCCAAAAGCTCCTAAGCGCAATTGATGAACTCTAGAATTGCATTCCCTTCTTCGACTTGAGGGTAGCTGCTTTCTTATCGTCTTATCTTTGTGCTATTAAGATAGAACATAGAAAATCTAAGATTAGTTTATGTATAAGGAAGATAGATACAAAATAAAAACTTATAATCTATTTCAACACTAAATTTCTGACTTCTTAACACATTAGTAAAGTTGAGCTCAAATGGGTAAATTTAGGAGTAGAGTGACAAAACTAATGTATAGCATAACAACATTACCTCGGATAACTTGAACTCGAATCCCTTTCTGTTGCACAAAGTACATTTCTTCCCTGCCTCGTCCCAAATCCTGAAAACACCAAATAAAAGTTGAAGCCAAAGAAGAAAGGATCAGAGAGTATCATAAGAATTCATAAATATCCATATCAGAGGATATCCACTTTAAGCCTCACATCGGTTACTATCTTTGATTACTCCATGGCCTTTATACCTCTGATGAAGTAGCGAGCATCTGTCATAAAACATGGATATCCTACATTACGAACAAAGAGATTGTCTTATGCTATTTTATTACGCCCCATAAGAAATTAAAAAATTGGAAATAGACCCGATTGCAATCTAAGCTGAAAGGACAAAGTATCTTTCACCAGAAACTTAAACAGTTCATATTTCACAAATGATCATTTTTCATTTATCACATCTCCCACTCAAATCTTCTACTATTCATATCAAATCTTCATTTCTCAGCCTCTATTTATTCCAACCACCCACTAGCCTCTCATGCTTACGTCAAGCCATCTTTGAGTCACTTCTCCTCTGTTTCCCCCAACACGCAGGAACTATAAACCGCATTTGCTATTTATTATAAAGTCAATTTGTTCGGTACCCTTTTATCACTTTCTTAACGTCGAAATTCTCTTTGTTGGTTTCCTAATAAGTACACTTAATCTTGTCATTCACCAAATTCACTATTGTTTCATCTTCTCGTATTAATTCAGAATTTTTAATTAATAAGATTAGAATGTAGCCTTGAAAGCTTTAAGTTTCCAATTTGTAGGAATCTATTATTCCATTATTTTTATGTAAGAAAATGAATGAAACTAGACAAAACATTTATTTTTATAAAAAAAGCACTAGTCGTGCGGTGGGCTATAATCGGGACCAACAGTTGGTACTCACGTTCTTGATTTGGACCACAAGAGAGTGGTATCTTCACATTGGGATCAATCAAATGATTCAGAGAATTGCAAGATGAGATTTGAAAATGTAACTAAGCAATGAGCGAAAATACTAGCATTTCGGAATAAAGTTAACATGATTTCCGTCAGTACCCGACGCTAAGGATGGATCTAACACCGACAAGACGACAAATCCGGACTTGAGTTTTAGAAAATCGCAAGAAAGAAAATAAAAATGACCGCTTTACACATTTTTATTTAAAATAGATCGTTCTATAGATAAATCAATCTTGTTTTTTCAGAAAGTCGCAAGTTCATGTTTTAAGACTCAAGACGGGCCATGCTAATACAACAAGAAGAAAACGATATAGCTAATGTTCCTATTGAGGGTCTATTGGACCTATGGTATTTCTTTTTCTCTTGCATCTTATTGTGGCGTGGTGATTATTTTTCTCTTGCATCTTATTTTTTTTGCCAACTCGCACTCAATAAGAGTCAACTTCGTGATTGGTTTCTAAATTAGGAAAAAAAAAACTTTAATAGTACCAAACTCATATTACGGCTTCGAGTGATTGAGGTAGAGAGGAACACAGTTTCTTACTTGGGCCATATTCAGAGTTAAATAAAAGATTATAGTGTTTACAGATTTAGTGAGTGATGGAGAGAGTCTATATAAAGTAAGAGTAGCTGATTATAATTATGCGTCCAGAGAGGACAAAGACCAGAGACACAGACAAGTGTTCATTGGAGCTTTTTCAAGTAAAAACTCAAAAAAAATCTCCATTGAAGACCCGAGAGGACAAAGACCAGAGACACAGACCAAGTGTGTGTGTTTATCTGCAAAAATTGACCTCATTTTTTTGTTTGTTTGAATTTGTGACTACCAAAACGACTCTACATCTTCTTGGTGGTTCTCAAGTCTCAACTTCACTCGCCGCAACAAACTGCTTCCCGGTCCCATCCCCTGAGCTCTTTACCTTCCTGCACATTCACAAATTCCACCATATGTTTCTGCTATTCATCGCTTTTGTTCAAGATTATGTTCGTGTGATTTTCTTGCCATTCTCAGCAAACTACAGAAAACAAAAGGTTTTTGTTTTTGGTCGAACAAGACTTACTTGAGCCAGTGATTCGGAGAAGGATGTTCAAATGGACTGTCTGAAGCAGGTTCAGTAGGACTCCTGTACGACGCTGCATTGTTCAAGATGCTCTCTGTTTGTGTGCTAAAAGAAAAAGGACTCTCCATGCCAGATAATGCAGGGAAGAACATCTTCTGTGACCAAGGATCATGGTTGCTTGGACCAGTAACGGGGCTGAATACGCCGCTTGGCTGATCATTTTCAAGACAGTTCTTCCTTTGTGAATAAGCATCTTCTTTTGAAAATAGTGATTCTGTTCTATGTTGAGGCACATGATGCAGAGCACTTTCTTCGTTAGATCTAGTTGTCTCTGAAGGTATAATCCAATTTGCTGACCCACCAACTAGACCGAGACCGTTTTGGCCGAGGGGACTCTTCCACATTTGCCAGCTTCCATCATTAGCTTGTTTTTCATCAGCAGCCCGTGATTTGGACAAAGGAGACTCAATTGGGGATGGCTTGCTGATTTCACTAGTAGGTGTATTCTTCATTGCATGGTGTTTTGGCAATCCTATGCCAGCTTCATACCCAGCCCTTAAATTAAGTGATTCTGAAACAGGTCCCAGTAGAGTTATCGGATCCGGAACATAACACGGATCTTCAAAATTCTCATCTTCACCGGGTTGAGGAAAAACAAGCTCTGTTGGAGGTGAGAAACCTAAACTACTGGTAGTGGTACCACTAGAGTACACTGGTATGGTGAATGGCGATGGGAGCCCAAAACTGATGGGATTGTCAAAGGTTCGTATTGAGGAAACTTTACTGGACACCTGTGAGCTCTGAACAGCTGCCTGGGGCTTTGTACTAGGTCTACTTATAGTACTAACATTCGAGGAAACAGGAACAACAGAAGTTGAACGGGCAAATAGTTGGTGCCATGATTTTCTAGGTTCTCTACTCGGTTTTGGCTCAGGAACAACCTGAGGAAAGAGCAGCAGATACTCAGTTATAATTGATAAACAAATTTTCTGAATATTTATCAAGAAGAAAATGTAATTTTGAGATCATATAGAACACACTAGTTTACTCATAACCATAGACCACTAAGATATGAGAAATTTTGGAAAGGACACTTACTGGACGATTAGCATTTGTTTCCCCTTCATTATGGACAGATTTCACAGCCACGAATTCAGGAGGATTTATATGAGCAGAGGTATGAGAATTATCTGCAGAACCGATGAGCTTGTTTTCTTTTGCAATTGTAGCAGAAGTAGTAACGCCTCTCCCAAATAAACGACTATCACTGAAAGCCTTAGAAGAAGACAAGAATGTACCCTTCATTCGATCAAAGTACCGACCACCATATTTTGTACCGTTATTAGTGGAACTATTCTCTAGACCATGTCCATGTCTCTTTTCCATGTTGGGGGACCTAAAATTATCAGGTGCATGCCTCTCATGTTCCAGATGATCACGCTTGTGCTCGGTTTCCTTTCTTGTTCTCTTGTCAAGCTCTTCACCATCAGAATTGCTCTTACTAGAGGCCCTATCTCTCTCTTTCCTCCTCTCATGACGCTTCTTTTCTGCCTCTTTGGTGTATTTATCCTTGGCAGCCAATGATAATCTGCTGCATTTCTCGGCCTCAATGATCTCATCTCTCAGCCTTCTCCGTTCATCCACCAGTTTTGCGACTTCTTCTCTTTGTTTCCTCTCTTCCTCTTCTGAAAGCTCCTTCTCCAGCCTAGCTTGTCTTTTCTCCTCAGCTTTTCTACGTGCTTTTTCTACCCTACTCTCATGATAGCTGGTCCCATTCTCACCCTGCCTAGCCAGCAACCGCCTCTGCTCAGGGTCAAGTGATGAATCATCAACTGATGAGCTAAATCTAAAAATCTTTTTCCAAAGCCACCTAATGGTCAGGAAAAAAGAAGTCAACAACCGGCAAGTAAAAACAACACCACCAGAATAAGATGTCTCCACCAAACAATTTTCATCTCCATCAAATGTACCACCACTATTATTCCGCCAATAGCTTGACCCGCTAGTCCACGTACCGCTCTCAGACCACTCTTGCCTGTGCAAATATCCGTTCTCATTCCACCCCTTCCCATTCAACATCTTCCCACCTCTTCCAACAAGATCCTTCAAAATCCCTGGACCAGAAATCTCTAATCCGGAAGACAAAGGCATGTCTAAAACAGGCCTTTTCGATATATGCCCACAATACGCGCACATAAATTTTCCACCACCTGGATTTTGGTCCTTGTAAGGTGTTGAACAGTTACGACAACGCCTAGTCGCATTTTTCTTCAGCTTCTGAAGTTCAATAGCTTCTAATCTCTCTCTCTCCCTAAGTCGGGCATTCCTCCGAAGCCGCCAAGTTGAAAGCTGAGGCATCAAAACCTCGTACCAGAACAAAGTAACCAAGAGCACAAATACACAAGCAAGCCTGGGAGAAGTGATTTCAAAACGAAAAGCTGGCGGAAGAAGCTGAGACAGAGCCCATAGTCCAATCAAAGGTATAACAAACCAAGGTAGCATCGTCGCAACCTGGCGAGACCACTTTTGAATAACGCACAATATACACATTATCCTCCAAAAGTCGATCCCTTTTTCTTTCACTTTATCAAAAGACCAAATGGATGAGAGAACCCTAAAGACTCAGAAAAATTCCAACGCAGGGGATGTGGTCAAAACAGGAAACCCAAACCCTAATCTTATTTTCAGGTTGCACACCATCGAAGTAAACAAGTCCCAGCTCCAAGCAAGCAACTTTAAGCTAAAGATTACAGCTTTCGAGAATCAGCACAATACCTAATGCAACAGGACGACAATGGAATCGATTAGAAGAGCACCCACGTCCGCAAAATGGAAATCGATTTCGGTTTAAAACATGAAATGAGCGAAACCCTTGTACGCAGAGTTCGGATTGACTTGCGGTGGAATGTGAATCAATCGAGAAAGAGAGAGGCAATGAGACTTACCGATAGAGATGCCATTGAAAGCAAAGCATCAAGCAAAAAGAGAGGCTTTGAAATTCGAATACAGCTTCTCGATTTTATGGATCCTATTTCGGGTTGATGAATCACGTAGCCGTGGCTTTCCGTTCGATTCCTGGCAAAGAAGAAAGCGTAAACGCGAAAGATTTTG